AACTAAGATTGAGAACAGTTTCGCAAAACCACTTATAACAGAATATTTAAAGTAACTGGCTTTCTCCTTTATTCTATTTTTTTTTTTAACAATAGTGATATTTACTAAATTTATATTAATCTTTAATTTAATCGCGACACAGGTCAAAATCTGAATGAAATGATTCGCCACATATCACAATCATATGAATCACTAACTTTGATACATCCAAATATTCAAAACACAGAGACTATTGCAGATTCTTAGCAATATTAACCCTACTTTACTTGTAGTTCTAACACTTTATCAACTATTTTTGCTCTATTTTGCTGCATTAAAATTTTTGGTACACAATTTGAGTCCTTCGATTATTTTGTTGATGAAAATTTATGAGAAATTTTATGTGTTTATATAGATATAGATTACATTTTTTTTTCCTTTTAAGATTAGTGTTTTAACTTTTTTCATTTTCCAAATTGAAATATCTCTTTTTACTAACTTTTGTTTTTTTTCCTAATTGTATTTTTTTTTAGGATTAGTGTTTTAAGTTATTTTCATTTTCTAAATTGAAATATATATATTTTTGTTCTATTATTAATTTAATCACTACACATGCCAAAATCTGAATCGAATGATTCCTCACATGCCACGATTATACGAATTACTAACTTTGATGCATCCAGCTTTATATAATAAGATTTTACTATTTTTATGTATTTTTATTTTGAAAATTACTTTGTGGTTAATTATTTAAATATATGTTATTGTTATATTTAAAAATTTTATTTTTATAATTTATAATAGTATTTATGTGTAAAATAATAACATGGTATTATTCGCTCCTCTATTTTATAATGGAAAAGTTTTATTCTATAATAATCATGTATATGAATAGGGAATAATCCTATTTGGCAGCTTGACACATCAACATTTTAGATTAATTTAGAAGTGATAAGTGGCTAACTAAAATTAAAATAACCCAATAGATAGTTATCATTAAATAAATTATATTAGTTAGATATAAAACTGCATTTTAAAAAATTGAAACATCTATTTATTTATTATTTTAAATGATAAAACTGAATTGAATTTGAACTAAAAATAAATCAAGATATATAGAAATCATAGAAAACTACTTCTTTTTACTGAGAAAAATGGAAAAAAAAAAGATTTCTCAAAGAAAATTTTAGCAAAAAAGAAAAAAAAATTAAGAATAGTGGTGGAACTCTGATGATTAATGAACTAATTACATAACAAATAGATATTTATTTGAAAATAGAATATAGATGTAATTTGATGATAAAAAGAGCATAAAGAAAAATTAAGAAAAAGAAAAAAAAATTATTATCTGGGTGATGTGTGTAATAGTTCTATATGATGGTATTTTAAAAATTAAACAAAAAGTTATAATTATTAAAACAAAATCATAATTATATTTGATAGGTCTCTCCAAAAATAGTATATTATAATGTTATAAATTAATTGATAACATAAATTAAAATATACAAAATATAGCTTTATACAACTATATATATATATATATATAATAGGACAAAACTCAATTATTATATTTACGAAGTAATGTTGTTCGTGAGAAAATTACGGATTTTTACGGGGATGTGTGTGTTTGTCCGAGTAGGACAGCTGAGCCTATTAGATTAGGCATCGAGGGTTGAGCAGTATACACTATCTGGATGAGAAAATTTTTGGGTCGTGCAAACATTCGCAGCGGGTGAATCGGGCCTTTGGAAAATTGGAAATAGGTTTTCCTCTCAAAATTTCTCTGATGCTCAATTTAGATTATGTCCCGCAGTGAACATATATTCAGGAGGGCAGATGGATGGTGATGGTTTTATAGTTTGGATACCCCGTCTGAGGATCGTCGTGATACTCTTCTGTCATTTGGTAAAGGAGAATGTGAAATGTATTAACTTTTGATAGAATGGGGATGGAGCTCTCTCTTAATGGGGATGTAGTAAAGAGAGAGGGAAGAAGTGAATGTTAATCTCAGTTAGCACTCCTTTGGGGGAACATTAGAAGATCTTCAGCCTCTCGCCTCCGGGGAATGCTTGGGGGATCTTCGGCCTTTCTACTCCTTTTTGACCTCTTTGTCTTTTCTTATACACCTTTCTCTCTAATATGTCCCATCTGAGAGAAACGCTTAGAGAGAGTACATATGCTACCACAGAACACTCATTGGGAAGTCCGTCATATACCAAGGAACATTTAGGTAGGGAGTCGTTAAACAAACTTAGACACCAAGTTCATCATTTCGGTCAAGCCTAACGTATCATTCACCTATAGGATACGATAAATATGAACCCAACAAATATATTATATTTGCAAAAATTTATAGGTATAGACATATTTTATTTTTATAACAAAATATATTTTATTTTTAAAAAACTCACGTATGTGCGGATATTAATCTAGTATTAGTGAAAAATAGAGTAAAATTAAAAATGGTCTAACTTTACGTTTCTAGAAGTCTATGAAGTTTATCCAACTCAGTTATGATAGCATTTGGAAGTGGATCAGTAGCATGTTTTTGGCTCGTCACATTTTTTTTTTTTTCACTTAACATTGTATTTATCCCATCAAATATTTGAGTTTTTTTTTTTTAATAATGTTGGATTCAATACTTCAACTATGTACATATGTCATACCAAAAAAAAAACTATGTACATATGAAGTACAATAATATAGCAAAGAAATCTTTTATTTCCGTTTCTCTTTGTAATGTGTACAGAAAGGTTGACTCATTTACTAAATAAAGTAGAGCATAGTGGGTTAATTTCAGGGATTCGATTTTTTCAATGAAGGTCTTTCTATTCATCACTTACTTTTGTTGATGATAGTTTGTTCTTGTGTAAAGCCACTGTTGACCAATGCAAAGCTTTCAATGAAATTCTCAGCATCTATTGTGAAGCAACATGGCAGGGAATAAATTTGAACAAGTCTTCAATAACTTTTGGTTCAAAGGTCGATAAGCAGATTCAAGGTGATATTCAGGCCGAGATGGGTATTTTTAATGAAGGAGGTACTGGATCATATCTTGGTCTCCCTGAATGTTTTAGTGGCTCTAAAATTGAGATGCTTGATTACATCAACGATCGTATAAAGTGAAGAATGTCTGGTTGGTTTGCTAGAACTCTTTCCTTGGGAAGAAAAGAAGTTCTCTTAAAAACAGTTGCATTGGCAATGTCAATCTTTGCAATGTCCTATTTTAAGCTTTCCAAAACCACTTGTGCTAGTTTGACTTTGGCAATGGCTCAGTTTTGGTGGAATTACATGGAAAATAATAGGAAAATCCATTGGGTAAGTTGGGAGAAGTTGCGTCTCAAAACAGCTAGGAGGTTTGGGTTTTAGAGACATTGAATGTTTTAATCAAGATCTTCTGGCAAAGCAATCTTGGAGATTCCTTCAAGATCCGGATAGCTTGGTAGCCCATTTCTTTAAAAGTGGATATTATAAAGATGCTTTTGTGCTTAAAGTTGTTCTAGGATCTAGACCTTCTTTTGCTTGGAAATCAATTCTTTTTGGGAGGGAATTACTTTTATCTGGTCTGAGAAAGGAGATTGGTAATGAGAATGACACTTTAGTGTAGATGGACTCCTGGTTGTGCGATGGGAGTATGAGAAGGTCGTTAATGATGAATCCAATCAACAATTTTAATATGTGGGTTAGTGATTTTATTGATCAAAGATTAAGAATTTGGAATTCGGCTGATATATCTTTGATAGTAAAGAAAAGGCCGGCGTTTCAGGAAGAAGACTCTTGGTCTTGGATACACAATAAGAATGGTGATTACTCAGTTAGGTCTGGGTATTGGCTTGCTTTTCAGCATAGCAAGAAAGAGCTTACTCAGAAAATTTCTATGCTTCCATCAACTAATGGGCTTAAGGATTCAATTTGGTGAATACAAACGGCTCCAAAGATTATAAACTTTTTATGGAGAGTTTTAAGTGAAGCATTGTCGGTGGTAGATAATCTGATTTCCAGAAGCATAAAATTGGATGCTCGCTGTCAAATGTGTGGAATGGAAGGTGAGAATGGAAATCATATTCTGTCAGTTGCTCTGTTGCAAGACATGTTTGGGCTTTGTCCGGTTTTCCATGTCCCCAAGAAGGTTTTGACCAGGGTTCGATCTTCACTAACATGAATTGGTTGTTATGTTCCATTAGTATGATTCATATACCAATGGAAATTGAAAAATCAATGCCATGGAGTTGCTGTGAAAAAATCGGAACAATTTTTTGTTCAAAGGAGTTACTTTCTCGCCTTTAGTTACTATGAAGAAGATATGATATTGAACAATGGTTTGCGGCACATAATATTGATATGAAGCGTTTAAACATAGCTCAGTCTTACCAGGTCGAAAGAGAAGATGTAAGGACGTTAACTCATGAGGGATAGCTTAAATGTAGCATTGGGCATTCATGGTCAAGATAAAAAAAAATTAACGCAGCGTGGGTTTTAAGAGATGGAAATGGTAAAGTTCTCCTTCGTAGCAGAAGATCTTTTTCACAGTTGGCAATTTATTTGATGCCAAAATTAAAAGCATTTGGTGGGCTACAGAAAGTATGGCAAGCTAGAGATTGGGTAAAATTTTATTTGCATCCGATGCAACAGAATTGATGAGTTCTTTTTCTCGACCTAAAACATAGCTTTTCTTCAAATCGTATGTTTTCTTTGAAGAAGACGATTCTTTTGTGAAATGTGGAGATTGAAAAGCCTGCAACTAATAGAGGTGTAATATTTTTATGTGGCTATGAATTCTCTATCTTGGCTCTTTAACCTTTTTGATAATGAGAGACGTGATGCCTCTATGTGATGTGGTGTGCTTTTTGGATTATAGTATAGTGTCGAATAGATATAGCTAAATTTTATTAACTCTTAGTACTCTCATGTTTGAGGCTTTTCTAAAATTTGTTGGGTTTCTTTGATCTATGTTGTAGCTATTATTGGCTTGTTAATATTATCCAGATGAAAAAGAAAAAAGAAATACAATAATATAGTAACTTGCCATCGAGGAGAGTGACAAAGCGTGAGTGAAAAAAAAAAATTGAAGTAAATTCTATCTATTAAAAAATACAAGTGAAAATTAAAAACAAAATAACCAAAAACAAAGAAAAGCTAATGGAACAAAACACAAAGTAGTATCTAAACCCACAAAACAAAACAAACAAAAAATACTCTAGAAAAGGATATAAAACTGAAAACAAAAATGAAATGAAAACTATCAATAATTGAGAATCACAACTAGTTATCAATATGGAGGGACACTAAGAAGCGGTAGAGCTTTTGAGGTCAATAACGATGACATTTATATTCTCTTTGCTTCCTCTAGCAATTGCAAGCTCTGCCAAAACCACCGCAGCCTTTGTCGAGCTTGATTCACTTTTCACTCTGTCAAATTTATTTATTTAAAAAAAAAATCGTTAGATCATTAGTCTTATAGTCTTAAAGCTACGTATATATATATATATATATATATATACACGTAAAAGTAAAACAAACGCTCAATTATAATCTTAAAACTCACACAAGTCCCTCTATAATTTATAATGCAAACAAACGAAATCAATTATATTTTATTCTTTTGGTTGTAAGAAGCTATACAAATTTGGGAAAAACAAAATTAGTATAGTAAGAATTCTAACCCGTCAGGTGAATTGCCGTACAGACAACGTTTGACAAGCTGATATGTGTCGTCGTCGGAGACAACCTCCCATAGGCCTTCGCATGCCAGTACAATGAAATCATCTATCATTGTTCGCTTATGGATCTTCAATTTTTGATCTACACCGCTCTGTCCGGAAAAAAAAATATTCACAAAATTTATTTGGTTACCAACAATTTTTTTGGAAAAATTTAACACCCTTGTTGAAATCCTCTGAGTAACCTAATTAAACTTTAATAAAAAAAAAATAACACACACTAGTGCCAAGAAAAAAAAATATTATCACAAGAAATAAATTTACCTGGTGGTGATGGAGATGGCAAAGGGGTAAAGCGATTCCGCCGTGAGAGTAAAGAACCATCCTTGCACCGCCACGACAAAGTACAATCACCTCCTCTTTTCCGACTATTGTTACCACCGCTTTCGCTGTGGAGGTCCCCACCGTACCCACCGCCTCCAAAAAACATGATCTCATAACTTTGTTCCAGTCAACCGCCACTCCACGGCCGTGGCATGCTGTTACTTCCTCCTTCACGAGTCGACAGAGCCTCTCCTCGAAGAATTTAGCGAGCCTAAGACCGTTGAAGATTCCAAAAATATCGTAAGATGGAATCTCGTCGATGACGGTGGAAACGGCGGTTGTCATAGCTCTCTGCCGTCCCATGACTGAGACTACTCCGTGGCCGGCTTTTTTTTTTCCTTCTTGATCGTTAATTACCACGTCAGCCATCAGTGAATCGACAGGGACGTCTGTTGCTTCTGATGTCGACCCTACATCTCCTAAGATTATATAGAGGAAAAACTGTATTAATTAGTCCTCAATGGGAAATATATATAAATGCATTTGGTATAATTTTTATACGTTTTATTTCAGTAAAATCAAAGTGAAAGGAATTTAGAAAATATAGTTCCTCTGAAAATACATATTTTAGAAAAGAATTGACCGAACGACATTCAAAATTTTATGTCGATTTTAATCATAAACCAACACGTACCGCTTATTAATATACTCAGTCACCGAAACTGTTTCTGGCTTAGTTTCTCACAAATGATTTTTCTTTTTCCTGTTGAATACACATATGACTATTTTGGGTATGACAGATTGCCAGTTTTAATATTTTGTTTTAAGGTACTAATCGAGGAGAATAAGTTGTTAACCAAGAAACAAAAATTGGCCTTTAAGTGCTTACAAACTACTCACAAACACTGTGGTCTACCAACAACAATAAATTTTGGCTTCTTCTTATCTCAAAACTTATAAAAAATGACAGCTTTGTGCAAATTAAGATTCAAATACGCTCTTAAAAATCGAATACTAAAATTAGTGACTATAATGGAATTATTACCGTTTTCTTCGATTTTTGGTAGTTTAACAGATTTGCCCTGGCCGTCAACGGTGAGTTCCGTATCAGCCATTCGTGGTCGCTTGCCATCGCCGGTGTCGCAATCGCCGGCAAGAATGGGTACAGTAGTATCCGTTTCCATGACAATGACTCCTCTTGAAGTAATGTTCGACAACTAACCCATTCGTTGTGGTGCGGATAAAAAGTATATTATATACATAAAAAAAAAGTATACTATATGCGTAACATATGCTTATGTGTGTTTGTATATATATAGACACCCATATCTTGTCGTGCCTTTTGTCTGTTATTATTATTATTATAAAGGAAAAAATCAAAAAAATGAAAGACGGTCGACAGACCGCCACTTCTATCATGGAACAAAAAAAGGCCTTATATAGAAACCGTAATCTAGACAAGTTAGTAGACCGATACTTCATTCGTATTTGTGAGTATCTTCGGATATCAAATCCGATTACTCTTTTGTTGTTGTTTTCGAAACTTTTTTCTGTGACAAATTCTTTTTATATATATATATAACTAAAGGATAAAGGTAAATTTCGAAAGGGAGAATTTCAACTGTTTTGTAATGAGATAGATAAGTAGTATATATGGGATAGTCATAATTTCTTATTAATTTTTATATGATGAAAGGGTTTAAAAATATTAAACTAAAGTGATATTTTGTTAATCTTTTAGATAATTGCGTCACGTGAAACGGAACATTTATTTTATATGTAAAATGGTTATAGTTTTCTTTTTTTTTTGCCAAAAACAACATAAAATGAATGCTTTATTTCAAATTGACATGTTTTTTTATATATATCAAACAAATAGCACAATCTTTTTATTCAAAAGAACCTGTTTTGCTTTTTTGTCAACTAGTCTCGAAATACCATGTTATTTATTAAAATAACATATAGCCTCCTGAATTCATTTGATAAAGATACCAACGCTATTTACTATTGTATAAAGCATTTAAATATACAACATGGATAAGTCAGAAAATATATACATACGCTGTGAGACCATATACAATTATTATTAAATCCAATTGGAATACGTAAACAACAAATTTCTCAAATTTTGTTTTTTGTTTGTTAACAATATAAATCTTTTAAAAAGTCGCAAGCTTGGTCGAGAAAATATCTTTTTCTTTGAACAAGAGCCTTGTAGTTATGTGGCCAGTTGCCACCTTGGGCTACCGAGTCACATTTAATGTGTTACCCACCTCCCCCTGAGCTCCTCCTCATCATGGGGTTAAAAAAATGTTGACAAAAGAAGTTAATCTTTTTCTTTTCCAACAATCGTATCACGTTGCTCCTCGAAATTATTGCTCCCATTGGACCATTTGTATCTATATGCATTAGGATCATAAATTACGTTTTATGGAAAGAAACAAAAAAAAAACATCATTTTTTTCTGCAAAGGGAGGTCCGTCCACTAACGGACACATATAATGAATTAAACGACACACGTCTGTTTCATAACTTGCATGCATTTTTGTTCGTCAACTTGCATATGTTTTAAAAAGCTTAAATTAAAAGGAAAACAAATAAGAAATAGCTTTATGAGAAGGATATATATACAAGATTTTAAAGTTTTCTTGGAATTATCTCTTTTAGGGTGTGTATGTGTTAATTGGAATATATGAGCATGGGTAATGAACTCATGATCCACCAATAAAATCCAAAATGGGTTTCTCATATGTTCGTTGGTCAACTTTACGCGGATATCATAAACATGCAGATGAATATAGACACCACAAATTAAATAAATCAAATTAGCCAAATATATGTACCGACACCACTGAATAAAATGAATTACAAGTTAAAAAGGTTATATATATTTCTTACATGTAAATGTTAAATGAGAATAACAAACATTCCACTGAAGTTTTAGTAAACAAAATCCCTGAACCAAAAATAATAATTTAAAGAACATAATTTTATTGTCCGTCTTGTAAATCTACTAGTTAGAGGAAAAATTTACAATAAGGTACCTGACCGAGTGGCCGGTGAACTTAAGTAGATATGGATCGTTAGTTGAACCAATGAGCGAAAGCGGTCGTCACTCACTCGGCAGTTTTTAATAATTAGTAGCAAAATAAAATAAATAAATCTATCACATACTAGAGTTTTTAGCATTTTTGCTAATAACATACATAGACTTCTGTGAAGTGAGATATAGCTTTTGAGTTTGATTATTGGTAACCTTATGCCATATCGTGATATAACGATCCCATTTTATTAGTGGTATAGAAATCTATAAGAGATGGCGATACATTTATAAACAGAATTTTTTTTAGCAATGCGATAATATATAGTATCACTTTTCCGTACTATTTATTTACCATTCATTGAAACACAAGTTTCATTACTATTTTTGAAGTGCTTTCAAACGATCGCTATCCTTATTTTATCAGTTGAGAGCATTTGGACCGAAATCCACAGTACAAGATACTGTGGAACTGCAACGTGGTCGCACATTGTACTACAGTATCTTTTGTATATTACGATAAAGACTTACGGTAAGAAAACCCATTCGAAGAGGAAATACAACGTGGCATTGCCATTGGAGGTCTCGGAGCAATAATAAACAAACTGTTTATCTTTATCAACTCGTACGTAACCGTTGCAGCACACGTCATGTGATTGAGATCTCTGTATTTGATAAAAACTTTGGTTTTAGAACAAACAGTACCGAGTCAATCTAACTAACCAATACTGTAACGACACGTGAAGAAACCACTCTTTTCCACTTCTCATTTCTGAATTTTTGAATCTTCCTCATTAGCTGAATTCTATCTTTCCATTTCTAAATTACCAAGTCCACCATTGGGTACTCTTCGATTCGTACCCAAAAAAAAATATATTTTTTATTGATCGAAATAATAGAATAGTAATTATATAATACTATTTTAAAATAACGGTGTATGATACAAAGATATCAAGTATTATATTTTTGTACCATCATTTTTTTTTACCGTTTTACTGAATAATTATACAGAAAACAATACACGTTGTATCATAATAGTACACCAGTTCACCAGTCAAAACTAACGTTAGAATTGTAAGTTTCAAGTAACGTCAGGATAATATACTTCTAGTGCTTTACGAAACTCAATTATTTGATAAAATTCAAAACTGACAAATCGAATAACGTTTATCGTTCATTAATTCTTTTAGATAATTATTATATGATTTGATTATATCTTTGTTAATAATTCAACTGTTTAAAGTTTAAAAAGAAAACAAAAACCCAAATTTCTTTGCGACTCCTATATGTAAAAAACATTTTCTTAAACATCTTTTTAAATGAAACAAAGAAAGATAAAAAAAAAACAAAAAAACACAAAGATAAGCCTTAAAAAAGAGAATACAATAAAGATAACTTCAATTTCAACCAAAGAAATATAGAATCATTCCAAATTTGATTTAGAAACTGAAAAAATCAATTGGTTAACGCTTTTAAACCAAAACAAAACAGCAAAATCTAAAGCAAAAGTTTAATAAAAATGATAAGTAAATGAGCTTTAGACAAAACCATAACCAACCTATCGTTTGGCTAGACAAAGTGCCCTGCACCTTTTTTACTTCTCCCACACCTTTTTCATATAAAATATAAATATTTCATATTTACCATAAGTTCTAATTTATGAAGATTGTTTCTTATTCACACAGATTGCTCAAATCCCCTCGACCAAATTAATCGTCTGCGTTCAAGTAAGCAAATCAGATGACAAAGCCAAACTGGGCCAATATCAGTGGAAGCCCAAACCACAACGAAATTAATCCAATTTGCAACAGTCACCTTACCTGTTTTAAGTCAATTGCTTGTCGCTGCGTCTACGTCTGCGACAGAATAAAACGACGGTTACTGTAGCAATCAACAAACTAAATGACTTCATTGGAGGCGTTGATGGAGAGAAAAATAACCGCAGCAATGGTCGCGTCAACTTAAAATTACCGCATGAAAAATTCAGTGTTTCACAAACAACACCGGTGGCCATCCTTAACAGTGTTCATTTTCAGCGGCAATTTTTCTCACTGTTGCCGCAGTCACTTGCTTTTTTTTTTACTGCATGCATCGATTAACAAACGAACAAGGCTAATGTTAAATTTCAAACAAAAAAAAATCATTTTTACATCAGATGCAACATTGTTTAAATAATACTAAGACTAAGTAAAATTCAAAGGCAAAACTAATATTTATCTTTCAGTATAGCCCACATATCTCAGATTCAATCTTGGAATTGTTGAGATGCAATTTCTAACTTTTTGTCAATCAATTGAGTGAGTCGGGAATGCTAAAAAGTGAAAGTGCATACTTGTGATAGTACGGATAGATGGGAAGTACTTAACAAACATAAGTGCAGAAAAATAAAGAACACACAAGTTCGTTAACAGGGGTTCGGCTTTCCCTACATTCCCCAGATTTTGTCTAAAATAGTTACATTAGAACAAAATAAATCAATTACATGATTGTATGAAATTTTTTCTACATGAAATCCTACTATGAATCTTCACACATCCAAATTTTCTACGGATTGTTAGATTTCTAAGAACACTACCAACAAAACTTATAAATCTACATTTTGTCTATCTGGTGAGGGCGACGCCACACTCACGTGTGCCGTCAATGATACCCTTGGTGTAAACCCTTATTAATGAGACAGCCTTGATATATATACTAATCGCTTGACCCTAAAACTTAGAATCTTTGGCGATCTTAAATAGATACAACTTGCCTTTATCTATTTACCAAATCTGTTGCAGCGAATACATCATATCCTAGCAACTTGGTCCAGCTAAGCAAATCAATTGTCACATCATCTTTTATGCAACGTCAAGTATTTTTCTCATGATATGTCTCATACATCAGAGGATGCACCTGATCGCCACAGTTTACGTATGTTATGCGTAAATAGTTGTATAACACTCACATCAAGTACTTTCTCAACATATGTGTCAGCTCTCTGCCACAATGCCTTTATCTCAACTTCTACATCATCTACATTAACTCTCCTTAGCAGTCTATGTATTATGTAGTACGCTCTTTCTCTACTCATTCTAACTTCTTTGTCAATCAATTGAGTGAGTCAGGAATGCTTAGAAGGAGGACCACCATGCCGCCTAGCATTCCTTTCCCTCCAAACATAGGTGAGTGTTGTTTGGAGAACATACCTTTGGAGGAATGAGTTAATCTGCGAGGTATTGCCCTCTGAGACAAGCAGCAAAATATATGCCCAAGTCGATGTGTATCTATGGGTAAGAAGTCTTAGGATTAGAGCTAGGATGGTAGAGTTAATACTTTTTGGAAGAAACCCCTTTTGGAAGAATGACCGAATAGCAATAGTGAAGTCTCTGCCAATAACCAACCAGGCTGCTTTAAAGAACTTTGCAGGGTACCCATCCGGACCTGGGGATTTGCTGCCTCGCATAGCAAATAGTACTTCAGGCACCTCAGCTTCTGAGATATCCCTCACCAGCTTTACACAGTCATCTGGCGAGAGCATCTATACGCAAGTAAGTCTCCCAACCTCTTTTTCGTGACACCTTTATATTCAAGTGGTTTGTGATTGAGAAACTCTCGAAAAAATGTTTCCACTGCAGATTTTATCTCCTCGCTAGATTGAAGGATCTCTCCTCATGGCCCCTGTATTTCTCAGATTGCGTTCTTTATTTTCCTCGTAGTAACAACTCTATGAATTTTTTTATTATTTCGATCTAGCGAGAAGATAAAATCTTTGTCTCTATATGAAAATAAAAACCCATAGTTAACAACTCTAAACTAAATTCTCCACTAATTACGAGATAATGGAATTTAAAAACCTTTTGTAGAATTTTGAAAAAGAAAATTATGAAGTAACTAGACACGTTGTAGCATGTCAAGATGTTATGTAACATCTCAAAATACTACTCAAACTTATTTAGAGAAGTTAATGAAGAAAGTCATGCCTGATAATGGAAAAAAAAATGAAATAGAATGTAAAAGCATATATAGTAGAAGGAATCTACTGTCCTGAAGCTAGACCTTCCTTTGTAGTCTTGTACATTTCATCAATCACATTCTGTTGATAAAAGCAAGAGGTTTTAATACCAATTCTTTGAAAGCTCAAAAATCATTAAAAATGTTTATCAAATTACCTGATAGTATTTAAGTAACTGAGGCCTCTTCTTTTTGTAGGTTGGTGTAAGAAGATCTCTTTCAATGTCGAAAGCCACCGGTTCCAAATGAACAGCTTTAATAATCTCAAAACCCCTTAACTACAGATACAGAGAGTAAAAATGCAAACAAATTAAAGAGAGTAAAGAAGAAGAGAACAAGAAGAAGAATAAAAAAACCTTTCTCTCTTTGGCTGTCTTAACGAGTTCTCCAAGTATGAATGCTTTTGCCTTTTCGTTTTGACAAATGGAGTTGAAATCTCCATTCACTCCGTTCTCTACAGCCCATCGTTCAAGAGTTTGCTGAGTCGGGTTAGCTACTGCGATTAGGAAGGACTCAAAGCTGTTCCCATACACCCATATCTATACAAAATAACCATATTGATGAAAAGTTGATGATGATAAAGATTATAGAACAGGCCAGAAGATTGAAAGTTCTGACTTACAGAATCAATGGCTTCTTCTTGACCATATACATTTTCTAAACTCTCAACTGCAACGTACTCTCCTTGGGCAAGTTTGAAGATGTTCTTCTTCCGGTCAATAATCTTCATGCTACCATCTGGTTGCCACTCACCAACATCACCAGTGTGAAACCATCCATCGACAAGAACCTCTTTCGTGAGGTCCTCACGTTTGTGGTATCCAGAGAACAGAGTTTTCCCACGGATGCAGATTTCGCCACGCGGTGTACTTCCAAGAGCATCGTATTCCATGTCCGGTACAGATTCTAGGCGTATATCAACGTTTGGTACAGGTGGACCAACTGTTCCAAGCATGTCTAGTTCATCAGGGAATGTGACAAAAGTACCAGCACAGCTCTCAGTTAAACCTATAAATACACCAAAGGAACAATCATAAGTTTAAAGAGATTGTTAGCTAACTGAAACCTCTTTTGCGTCTCACAAAAAGCTTACCATATCCTTGAAGAACATGACAACATGCCACAACTCTAAGAAATGACTCAATGTGACTAGCGAGAGGAGCAGCTCCAGATAGAATAATCCTCACATTGCCTCCGAGTCCTTGTTTAACCTTGAGAGAGATTATTACAAAAAAAAAATGAGTTTTAACTAATGTGAAGTTCTCAAAAGAGTTTCTTTGAAGAAGATGATACCTTGTTGAAGACAAGTTTGTCACAGAATGGAGCGGCTGCTACATGAGACTGACCCTTTTTCATATTTCCAAATTTACTGAGTATGTTTTTCGAATGTGTTAGACCAAGTTACGTGTAACACAAGTTATATATGTAACAGAGAAACCTGAACTTACTAGGAAAAGGCAACATTGAAAACCTTCTTTTTGAAGAAACCTCCAATTGATAGTTTCTGCTGAAGCCCTGTTGCATAACAAGTTAATATATAAGTGTTTGAAGAGATTTTAGTATTGAAATAAACAAAACGGTTGAAAAATACCTGTGTATACTCGATCTAGGACACGAGGAACAGCGCAAAAGATAGTTGGTTTTAGTTCACCAAGGTCTTCAATCAACAACTTAACATCCTGAGGATATAGACTTATGAATATGTCAAACAAAATTCATAATTAGAATTTGAAAGATTAGAAGTTGAGCTGTACTCACCCCGCGCCAGAAACCGATTGAACCACCTACTTGAATAATACACTCTTCTATAACCCGATCAAAGACGTGTGCAAGAGGAAGATAAGAGATGTATACATCCTTCTCAGATAGCTGTTTGTATATATGCAACATATACAATTATAAGGATTGAGTTCAAAGATTTGCAGGCTGTTGATGAGAATCGGAAAGAAGAAACTCACGGTTTCGTTAACACTCTGTAGGAACTCCATCACTCCTGTTGTTATAGTAACAATGCTTTCGTTTGAAATCAGAACTCCCTTGGGGTCACCAGTTGTTCCGCTTGTATACATTATGGTACATATGTCGCTTTTCTTTTTAACGGGAAGATCATATTGTTTATCTTCACCCTGTCATAGAGAAACACAACTTAAAATCAAAACACGCACACATACATATATATATATATATCATACTATATATATGTGAGATGAAAGTGTCCTACCATCTTCAAAAACTCATCCCAAGTATGTATTGCTAATCCCAATTTTTCAGCTTCTTCTTTCTGTTCTGATTTGACACCACCAAAGCTCACAACAGCTGCATTTTTAATGAAACACAAGTAACTTGACATGCTACCACATATCTAACTTTGTACTTTTTGAATAGATCATGATTTTTACAAGTATGAAACAAAAAAGGGTAATTATTATGACTTACTCTTCATATACTTTGTGGAATTTGGACATGTCTTAAAGAGCTGACAATCGAACAAAAGAAAATTAAAGCCAGTGTACAAGAAATTGACTTTTTTTTTTAAAGAGCCAGTAGAGATACTAAGTGAAAGATATACCTCAGAGATCTTTTTCTCCTCCACAAAAGCAATTGAAACTTCTGCGTGCGAAATAATGAACTCCACGGCACCAGCGCCTGTGTTCATAAACGGAAAGTTAATACACTCAAGACTCAGAAGAGTAGAATCACCAAAACACATGCTTACCTAATGTATCGTATAAAGGTACACAATAGAGACCATGTGCATTACAGGCCTGCCATCAGAAGTGCGCCATTGAATCATCAATAGTAAAAGCAATCAAGAATATTATCAATTATTTCACGTACCTCCATGCTTATGATCCACTCAGGGCAATTTGCACCAAAAATACCACATTTTCCTCCCTACATTTCCACATATCCCAAAAGACAATTCGAAGGCAACAAAATAATTACATTTAAGCAAGAAAATATGAATATTAACCTCTTCAACCCCGCAGCTACGGAGAGAGTTTCCAAGTTTTATGACAATGTCATGTACTTCTTTGTATGTTTTCCACACGTATTTTCCTGCCTGAGAATAAAAATAAAATAAAACTATCAACTCGAAATCACACAATATCACAAGCTAAAATCCATATAAAATAATTCTTAAAAAAAAGTAACACCTTCCCGTTCACAATCTCACGTTGACCAAGCATTCGATTGTTTGGATATTTTTCAACAGCCGTGCTGCAACCACAAGTTAAAAAAAAAATTATAGATCATAAAGATCATAAAGATCAAAGTATTTAATCCACCAATTATAAAAACTCTATTAGCCCATCTCAAATTTATTTAAGACAATGTAATGTTTGTATAGCAACAAAAATACCCATATGACAAACAAAAAATCGCTTATGAACAGTACGAATCGTTCATAATGTAACAACAGTCACGGATCAAACCTTAGAAATGCATGATTCAGCAAAAATATATTAAAAAAGTAACAGATTAATTTTCCTGGAAAAAAAAGAGAATCTCACCGGAAAATATCCCAACAGCTGTCGATTCCATCGATCGGTTTAGGGAAACCGTCTTTGGCGAAGGTACTGCGATAGACAGGACCAACAGAAGGTTTTCCATCGGTGGCTTCCTTAGCCGCTTCCACCTCGAAGATGAATCTCTTCTGTGACGTCATCTCTCTGCTGCTCTCTCTCTCTCTCTCTCTCTCTCTCTCTCTCTCTCTCCCTCTCGTGACCGATCGCTATATTTGAATTATAAGCGAAGTGATGTGAACAAGTGAGTGTGAGTTCGCGGCTTAAAACACGGTGGTGATAGAGACCGTCTCCAACTCCATTTCGTTGTTCGTTTTGGGGTCAATGGGCCCAATATTACGGCCTATTAGTGCTCAATATTATGAATTTAGGGCCCGTTCATAGGATACGAAAACCACACAATCTTACACCACCTTCTCCCTCGGCCTCCTCCTCTCCTTAGCTGCCTGCTTACACGAAACGTTGAAACCGTAAAAACATAATCTGTGTTTAGTTACTACACCTACTAAACTATTAAAGATATTTCTATATGATATTGGAACTAAAGATGTCTATATTTTGTTACGGTTAAAGTTCCATGAGTTTGTTTTTAGATGAGCTAGTGATAGGATTCTCCCAGGGAAGTCGTCACTCTAGAGTTGGTGAATGGATGGATAAATGGATAGGTCTTAGAACTAAAAAAAAATGATCTTCAAAGTACAAGGAAATGATGGATTGTTAAGGTTATACAGAAGCTGCAGAAGGTCTTCTGATTTACCCCAACTTGAGTTCCTTAGATATGACACACTAAGACAAACTCAAGGTCGATTGAATAGATATGATGCACCAAACAATCTCTTAACTCCCTGGATATGACACACCAAGACAAACTAAGTTTTGATCAATGGATATTACACACCAAGGATCGAAAATGTTCACAAGAAACAAAAGAGAATCACTCTCAAAGATTTTAATAAAAAGATGGATGTCTTATAAAATGATCTTACATGAGTTTATATAGAAAATAGAATGAGTAGGTAAAGAGTCAAACTCGTGGTCAAAACATTAATTTAAACAAAGACTGAATAAAACTAAGTTTGAATGACCCTTGAGCTTATATCGGCGAACTATATAGGTGAACTATATAGGCGAACTATATAGGTGATCAGGCATAGTAACTTTGTGATCGATTTGCCTCATTAAAACCTTTCTTGGAAAACCCATTGGGACAAAACCAAGGATAAGGAAAAAAAATACAAATGATCACAAACCCATTAGAGCTCTTCTTGGACTTGAATCATCATTAGGACTTATGGAGTTGAGTCTTGTTCAGTCCAATCAGAGTTCTCTTTGGATGTGAACATTTGGTTAAGTAAACCTCCAATTCCTTGTATGAACTTCTTCGCTCTTGCACGAGTCATCGGTCCAGCTGGTACAACTAAGTCTTCTTCAGCTTCAAGCTCTGGTTCTAGCTCCAGTTCCAGCTTAGTCTCTTTGGTGCAATCCATGATCGCATCAGCTAGTGAAAATTTTGCTAGATGCTAGATGTGGATTTTATGCTAAATGTCATGGTGCAGGCTTAAGATAGTAGAAATTATGGTTGATTTATTGTTATGTTTGGAGTTGTATAGTGTTTTATTATTGAGAAATTGTACTGGATGGACCTTAATAATATCGAAGTTAAGTTGCCACTTCTGACAACTTTTTGAAGCATCTATTCATTATCAAAAGACCTTCCTATCCCTACATAATCTGTTGCTTCTTATTTTCTCTTTCTCCTTTGTTTCTTCATTTTCTCTTTCCTCTTTGTTTCTTCATACATCCTTCACACGACGAAGATAAATAATGATAGTGGGTTATTGATGGTGGTGGTGATAGCGCACTAGTGGTAGTGGAGGAGATGGCGATGCTGGTGGTGATGGTGATGGTAGTGATGGTGATGGTAGTGATGCCGCTGGTGGTGGTGGTAGTGGTGATGTCAGTGATGGTGGTGGTTGTGGTGGCAATGGTGTTGGTGATGGTGGACCGGTGCTGGTGGAAGTGATGGGGATGCCGGTGGTGGTGGTGGTGGTGGCTGTGTCGGTGGTGACGATGGTGGTGGTAGTGTAGATGGTGGTGGTGGTGGTGATGTGAAACAAAGACTTTTGCAGGTCTAAACTCAAATGTCCTTAGCCTCTAATCAGTTGTAGAATAGGGATCAAGTATCAATCCAAATTGTGGAAGATGAGATGCAAACAATGCTGTAAGCTAAGCAAGATTCAACCTAATAATGCAATGGAAGGAAAGCATAAACTAAATGTAAATGAACAAAATTAAACAATGGACTTAAGGCAATGACTAAACAAGAACTAAGCAAGAATGACTACTAAAGCAAGAACTAAGCAAGATGATCTTAAAGATAATTAATTAAAAGCAAGACTCAAGATTCTAAGCAATTGTGGGATAGTGGTTTTCACAAGTGACAAGGGGATTTCTACTAATGCATTCAACAAGCATTAACAAAGCAAGCAATTCTTAATGTTACGCTCCTAGACAAGGTATCTAAAGGGAACCACTTGACGTCAATAAGCATTTCATATTCAACAAGATCGAAGTGTCAGACCCACTTATGTTGGCGTATCCTTCAACCATGAGCATAAAGATCAGAGCCATTCTAGCCTAAAAGATGCACCAATCAAGCAACTACTCTCTCACCCAAGCAAGAATTCAGATCAACTTATTAATCTTGTGAACCAATAAGGACCTAGGCAGCTATACACCAATCAAGATTATGGATTTAAGCACAAACTTGCAACATCCTAACAAAGCTAAGCAATGAACAAGAATGAAGCAAAGGCAAGATCTTTCAATGCATATTATCTAACCATCAAGCAAGAATCTCAAAACCAGCATTATCTAGCCCTAAGCGAATCATCTAGCAAGGTGAACTATCACTATGGTGTCACTGAACAAAGGAAACATAGACCAAACTAGACTATCAAGCCAAATAAGCGAACTGATAAACAGAATGTTTCTAAGCTGTTTGAGTCAAAGCCCCAGACCAAGATAATGATGCAGTATAGTGGTAAGGGGTATCAATCCAGCCTAGGTTATAGAAAGACACTAAGAATGCAAGAGAAAAGTGAATCTAAGCAGAATCGGGTAAATAGATGAGAAATTCTACAGAAATTAAATGCAACACGAAATGAGCAAAAAAAACTATTTTAAAATCCCTGGAAGAGGGTTAAAAACTGCTAAAAGAAAACTAGGAATTTAAAAAGCAAAACTACTAATTACTAAAAATCGAGAACTAAAGCGGGTAAATAGAGAACTTCTAGCAACTTAAGATGCTAAGCAATGAAACTAAAGCAAAGATGCGAACTTTAAGACTTGGAAGTGAAAACTTGAGGTTTTGAAATGCTAAAAGGAGGATCTAAGGTTGAGGGTCATATTAAGAAGGTTAAAGATTCAAGCTTAGGGTTTGAAAACATAAATCTACACTTTTTGTGCTATCTCTAGGCCTTGAGAAGCTAAAAGAGGTTTATCCATGGTGTATGATATAAACCCTTTCCTTAACCCTTCCTCCAAACCCATGGTTTGTGGTGGAAAGATGAGTCAAAGAACATTAAGGTTAGATCTCAAATAGCGGCCTAATTAGCTCCCTAAGCAGCCATGGTGTTTGGGAAAGGAAAGCTAATCTCTTGGACTTGGTTTTAAGAGACTCCTGAATCCTGCTGAGGTAAGGAGATCTCTGAGATCATAAAGATCTTTCCCAAGAATCTTTAGGCATTAAGCCCCCAAATCCAAGAAGAGAATGAGTTGAAAACAAGAAAAGACCCAAGCTTTAAACCTTTTAAACCCTCTTAATCGCCCCAACCTTAAACCCAAAGAGGACTACTCGCTACACATGGCTAAAACACACGAAAATGCAATGGAAAGAAAGCTAAACATGATTAAGCAAAAGCGGTTAAGAAAAGTACTTAGATTAAGCAAGATTAAAAAAGTTCAAAACATGAAAAAGCTTGAAGAACAGTAACAATGGCGATAAGCCTAGAAAAGCATAAGAAAAATATCAGAATGGTTCCAGACCAAACGAATGGTTCATATAAATTTGCCTAAAATAGGCCAACAAAGAAAATGGTCCCCTCACTAGAGTCCAAAAGTGAGCTGGCCGGATAAGGTGTAGAGATCGAGCCGAGTATTCGATATGATGCTCGATCTTCTTCATGGATCGTCCTCCTCTGCTCGATCTTCGGGTCGATTTGGCTGGGTGGATCGACTGCTCCCTTCGATGATCTACTCGATCCTTGGATGATCGAGTCTTGACCTCAATCTGGCACTCGTTCTGCATGGTTTAGTCCACGTCCGTACTCACGATCGATCACCTTGGTCGACCTGGGTCTCGATCCTCCTTCTTGAAACGACTTGAGTCACTCGATCTTCTGATCGATCTCATCTAGATCGACCTGCCTTGCTCGATCCGCACCTCGATCTCAGCTCCTCTGCTACATGGCCGAGTTCTCCCAAGTGTCCACAAGCTCCTCTTCGATCCTTAGCATGTCCATGCAACCTCCACAGCTCCAGTATGTCCAAAACAACCTGAATATGATGCAAGAATGCAAGAAATATGCAAATGCTAATGCAAAATGCACTTAGGACCTAAAATGAGACAAATGGTGCAAACTAGCCTAAAATGTAAGATGAATGCATGAAAAACTACTCTAAATGCATGTTGAATATGCGAAATATATGAGAAAGTGTGGTCAAGGCACATCTTTCATGGTCAAAGATGCTTGCCTTGACCACAATTCAAATTTAAAATAGGAGGGAAAGAGCAAATAGGGGGAAAACTTAAACTTACCTCGGCATGAGATCGAGTCAATTTGGTCGATCTTGAACTCGATCTCATGCCCATGTTGGCTAGGATCGAGAGGGTTGATCGATTAGGGACTCGATTTGAATTGAATCGAGTCCTAGATCAAGTGTGCCCCCTCGTTCCATGATTCTACGTCCTAATGGCTATGCTCCTTGGATCGAGCCCCGTGATCGATCTGGAGGTTGTTTTGGCAAGGATCGAGTGACATGATCGAGTGAAATGATCGATCCAACTTGAGGATCGAGTAAGGTCAGTCGATCCACACCCCGTTTGCATTCCAAGCTAAACACGCGGGTGGGTCATCCTCTCACAATCGACTGACTCACTCGATTGTCAACTCGATCTAATCTAGATCGAGTGACTTCACTCGATTCACTAGCTCGATCTAGTAAAGATCAAACCAGGGTAAGTCGATCTATCACTCGATCTCTTGCCTCCACTTCTCCTTTCCTTGCCCCTTTTGACTCC